CCTCAGATACAATAAAGTCTCCGACAAGTCATGATCTAATCCTGAAAANAGAATTGTCCACGCCCGGCAAGCATCCGGAAATCCGCGCACACAGTCCTGAAAACGAAGTAAATGACCCTATGATGCCTCACTCAGATACAATAAAGTCTCCGACAAGTCATGATCTAATCCTGAAAAAATTGTGGAACGTCCGGGAATCTCAACGTCGGCTATTTAGTTTTTTCGGTGGACAGAATTGACAAAACAGAATTTCGATGAATAAATGTTTTGCAGAAAAATCCTTTTTGCTTGACGATGAATACAGTTAAATCGATCGAGTGTAATGTTTTTGCTGAATATTATTGGAACTCAACTGCTCATATTTTCCTGAATGTAACAGTCAACAAACCTGCACAACAAACGCATCAATTACGAGTTCCCCAAGTTTGTCCCACATTGAGTCTTTGAATCCGTATTTTTTGAGTGACGCATGAGAGGATCCTTGAAATGAATTGTTCGTCATTTTTCGGTAGAAATTAGGTTCTTCTGAGCAAACGAGTATTCGTGGTGAATACTAATAGTGCAAATGTATCTTCAACGAAGTATTCGCTAGAAAAAGAGTATGAAAATGAACCGATTTTATCGATGTGTTCCAAAGTTTCATAAGGCGCGCAATCAAAAGCTTGAATCACTTGACTGATCAGCGACACGAAGAAATGCGTATGATCGCGAAGTGTTGCGATCGATTGGCTTGAGTGACGTCTAAGCGAGTGGTCGGCCATACTGTCCACGAATGCAGTATTGTAGAAGATCTCGCGAACACTTTTAACTTTCTGAAATCGCTTTACGCCTCCTTTCATATACAATTTTCCAGCAGATAGACTGGTAGCAAAGAGAATGGTAAGAGTTTCGTTGGGCTGTTCATTCAGGGGAATGCGTCGACTTGAAGAGAGAGGCATAAAGCGAATGGAGATCGACAGAAAGCTGACTGAAGATAGTTGATTCAGGAAAGCAATTGAGCTATTGAATGGTTCGAAAGGCTTGAATCATTTTATCATATTGATGAATGTATCTCATATCAGTAGCTGCTTTCACCTCGTCGAATTTCTCAAAAATACGATCCATAATTGCGACAATTCCCTTACAGCTGGATCGTGGCGAGAGACACAGTGAGGTGTGATCAGTTCAGATTTGTAGAGCATCATTCACGTGAGGAGCATTTTGTGTATGTACCCAGTCGCATAACATAGAAATGGATAAAAGTAATTCAGAAACCTAACCAATGACAAGCGAACGGCGGGTATCGAACCAGATCGTCTTCGGGCAATCGGCGGCACCTGTAGACTGTTCGTGGATGATGTTTTCTCTGTGGATTCCAGATTAACCATACTATCACGACGTGATTCCGGAATTTTTTTCTGAAACTTATTCATGAAGGTGATGAATGAAGTGGGTCAAGCAGCTC